CTGTTTTGCAGTTTAAAAAAAAAAGAAACAGTTCTCAGGTTTCTCAGACCATTTGAAATCACACCAGAGAAATACTTGATTTCAGCATTCTTAAACTCTCTGCACTGATGCCGCAAGTGGTGTCCCCCACGTGTGATGATGTATTTCAGAGCCAGAGTTTTCTCAAGATGTTCCAAGCCTGCAGGCTCCTGATCCTTTTTCAAATTATGAAGATGATAGTATCCCAGTGAGAGTTGTGATTAGTCTAAACTCTCCACAGCTGTGAGAGATGAATGTACAAATTCCAATAAAGATTCTGCGTGTTCTGGACTGAATTTACCTACATGACACCGAGGCCTAACTCAGGGACCACTTAAAAGGACTGGAGCTGCCTCAATGCTATTCCATTTCTTCCACAGCATCAGCTGTTGGGAGTCTCGCAACTGTTCAGGGAGGCTGCCTCCCCTCACATTTCTGTCACTGCCCAGCACTGGGTGTTTATTTAGAAGGTCTGCAATGTGTGGGGAGAGAAGCAGGGCTGGAGAAATTAAACCCAAGTACGTGGGAACTCAAAGAGGCCTTGCAATTCATTATGTGAATGGCCAGGAGGATTATAAAACACCTTGTAACTGAAAGGGTTGGCCTGGAGTTGTGTAGGACAACAGAACCAGCTGTATCACCCACCACCTCTAACTCATTTAGAATGGCGCTAGTGAGCAGGCAGGCTCAGAGTGTTCTTCAGTTACTTGGAAAAGGCCACAGGGCTTTGTTTTCTTATTTTGGACATCTTTTCTCTAAACTCCTTCCTTGGAAATACTAAGTAAACGTAATAATATATGGCACGTCCCTTTTACCATGTTAGACAATTGTACTGTCTGAAGGCACTTGGCTCTGCTCCTTTAGAAGACATTTGACATTCAGCATTCTTTCCAAGACTGGGAAAGACTTAAAGGACAAAGATTCTCACATCATTCTCTATACATATTAATAATTATAGAAATAATAAATAACATTCCTCATTTGGCAAACAAAAAGAAAATACAAAAGGAATACATAATGTGGGGTTTTTTTTAATTTTCTAATATGATTTGCACGCATGCAGAATCTTCTAAAGCCAAGTATATATTCATCATGTACATCCACCTCCATTGTTAGAGTTCACTGAAGCACACCCAGATAATACTCTTAACATCTGAAGATCTTTAATGGTACACTAGCTATCATTTTACAGTTTACCATATGAACACATGTATATGTATAAGACACTGTATATGTATGTATACACTGTATATATATAAGACACATGTATATGTATGTATACACTGTCACATGTATATGTATAAGACTTTTGTGATAAGCGGCAATTCTCCGTGTAGATTCTGAATTTGCCTTTTCTTTCTAAGGCAAACCAGAAAGAGAACATGGTAGAAGTCAGGAGACCCAATGGAGAGTTAAATGAACTTTAAATGAATTTCTTAAACACCAACCTCTGGATGATCAAAACACAGCATCTGACTGAAGTGGGGATGAGAGGGAAGGAAAAAGGAAACAAGCTCCAATTTTTTTCTAATATTCATCAAATGAAACATACAACTAGAACCATGTCCTCTTTATTCTTTCATGGTCCTTCATGTAAAATCTCTACATGCTAATAGATTCTTTGGACTACTGGCACATAGCACCTCAGATTTCATCCATTCTTTTTTTTTTTTAAACTGGTGATAATTTTATTTGATTTCCAGTGTCTTGGAATTTGGTTTTTATTTAAGTGGGGTTTTTTTATTTTTTAATATTTTATTTTATGTAATTCTTACATCATTTTTCATTTTTGCACAATGTATGCATTTTCATTTTAGTCATCCATTCTTTCTCGAAAAAAAATAAAATCATTAATTTAAGCCTATAAAACTGGATGGCAACTATGTGTTACTCCTCCTAGAAGCATGTTACAAGAGCGGCTTGAATTTCAAGTGGTTTATTATGTCCTTCTTTCAGTTCCAGGTACAACCACCCAGCAAGAGAACTGTAAAAGAAAAAAAAAATTAAAAATTGGACTGCCACATACAAAAAAGATAAAACTAGACCACTATCTCACACCATACAAAAAAAAATCAATTCAAAATGGATAAAATGGAGTTGGAAATAAGACCTGAAACCATAAAATACATAGAAGAAAATGTAGGCAAAACACTCCATGACATAAACTTCAGAAATTATCTTCACAAACTATCTTTACTGATTCATTCTCAGCAGCAAGGTAAACAAAGGTGAATATATACAACTGGGATTACATCAAACTAAAAAGCTTCTGTACAGTGAAAGAGACAGAAGCCAAAATGAAGAGACACCCTACTGAATGGGAGAAAATATTTGCAAAACATGCATCTGAGGAGGGACTGTATCAAAGATCTACAAAGAGTTTACACAACTCAACAAAAAGAAAACAAATAATCAAAACAGGCAGAAGAGCTAAATAGGCACTTCTCCAAAGAAGATATGTAGATGGCCAACAGCCACATGAAAAAATGTTCATCATCACTTATCAAGGAAATGCAAATCAAAAGCACAATGAGCTACCACCTCACACCGGTGAGACTGACCCATATTTAAAAAACAAAAAACAAAACAAAAAAAAACAAGTGCTGACGAGGATGTAGAGAAAAAGGAACACTGTTACACTGTTGTTGGGGACATAAACTGGTCCAGCCCCTGTGGAAAGCAGTATGGAGGTTTCTCAAAAGACTGAAAATGGATCTGCCACATGACCTAGCAATTCCACTCCTAGACATCTACCCGAAAAACACAAAAACATGAAGAAAACTTGCACTCCCGTATTTATTGCAGCATTATTTACAATAGTCAAGATATGAAAATAACCAGTGTCAAAAAACAGATGAGGAGATTAAGAAGCTGTGCTTATATACTTCTACACAATGGAATACTATTCAGCAACATGGATGGGGCTGGAAGGGATTATGCTAAGCAAAATAAGGCAGAAAGAGAAAGATAAATAACAGAGAAAGATTAAACCTTATGGTTTCACTTATAGAGAGAGATAGCAAACAAAGGGTCAAAGACAAACTTTAAAGACAAACCTTGAAAGCTGACTATATATCTGAGGAATCCAGGGGGGCAAGAAGAGGAGGACTGGGTGAGGAGGGGGATGTGGGGAGCATAATGGGCTGTGGTAGAGGACCATTCGTGTTTTGCTGGTGGGAGAGCTATGGTGACCACACTGCAGGGGAGCAATGCTATACTGTCAAAAAATTAATAAGAATGTAAAACAATGTTACCTCATTTAAATAAATAAAATGGTAAATCATACAATATTCCAGGATTCCACTAGGTAAAAGGAAGCTACAGAGAATAACCAATTCAGTCCTACAGATAAGGTAAGTGTGGCCTTGCTGGGAATATTCAAGGTTGATCTGAAAGTGCTAACATTAACAGTCAATTGGTAAATATTTCACAAAAGTCATGCTTTGTAGCATTTGCAATTCCCCTAGTGTAAATACATCCACATGGCTGATTTCAAGCTACCCAAATGACATCACTAAATGGACAGTTGAGAAGAGATACACAACACCAGTCCATGGCATATTTTATATACAATAGATGCAAATGAAATAACTAGACTGTAATGAGTTTTGAGTGTTACTTCGGTTTTTAATGTTGTTAATTAAAAGATTATACAATTTATTTTTTAATAATGGCTGTATCTTAACAATTGGCTCCCAAATTCATGAAAATTTAAAAGTGGGCCCTACTGAGCAGATTCACTCACTCCAACACATCACAGCACAATGCTCTTCAGGGTTATTAAAAATATTTTGAACAAATAACAAACCAAATAAATGAAGCTACTAAATTATCTAGATCAAATATCTCTGAAGTTTTCCAAGTGCCAACCTGTTTGCTACCCCAATTTAGAAATACTCAAAAAGTTCCATTTTCACCGTGCATAATATGTATAAGAATACCATGACATGACCATATCCTCCACTGATACATATCACTTTTCAAATTAGTGTTTTTATGCTAGGGTGGGACAAAAAGACCCTGCATAGCCCATTTAAATTGGCGGGTAGTGGTATTTTAGAGCCCTCTGGGCGAAGATGGTCCTTGTAGCCTTAATGCAAAGGAGAGGAGAAGGGTTGGAACTGGGAGTCAGGACAGGAGGCCTCCGGGTTTCCTCCGGCCAAAGGCTCCGTTGCTGTGCAAGCAGGTGCGTGCACCTGAGTACAGGTTGTCTTCCCTGTCTCCCTTTGTCTAACTCTAGAGGTCTGACTAGAAGTCCCTTTTTTCTGAGGGGGACATCAGAGGTTGAACGGGATATGTCCTAAGTGTCTTTCAAAAGCTTAAATCATCGGGTTCCTAATATCAAAGTCAGCTCTTACGCGATAGAACAGCTTTGTGATGTTTTTCCCCGGATCGAGACAAACCTATCCCCGTAGACACGTGGACCAAGAACCCACATAGGTCTCGCTGCTGGCACTATCGCTAACAGTAGTCGTGGCCGAGTGGTTAAGGCGATGGACTAGAAATCCATTGGGGTCTCCCCGCGCAGGTTCGAATCCTGCCGACTACGGGAAGGCGAAATTTTGCCCCCACATGTTTTCATTTTGGCTTTCTTCCCCACAGATTATTTATGGAATTTATCGGTGGTTGGAAACCGGGAACAAGTGGACTACAAAGGGGGACCCCAAGAGATCCAAAGAGGGTTAGGGAAGGGAGCTCCGGAGTTGTGTGACTGTGGTTACAACTTGGGTCCAGGAGGGGGAGATAATACGGAACACGCCAGACAATCTGAAACGAAAAAGGCAAAGCGCGACAGGTCGCGCCAGGACAGACAGTTCCTACCTCCATCCCCGCGGGCAGCCCTGAAACCACAGGCCTGGCGGACCCGCCGGGACCTTTCACCCGAGCGCCTCAGCGCCGAGGCCTCGCCCGCACTTGGGCCGCCGCGGGCCGGCGCGCGCATGCGCAGGGAGGCCAGGGACGCGGACGGCGGGTCTTCGCGTTGCCCCGGGAAACCACCCGGCGCCGGCGCGCGGCTACGAGGGGAGCCCGGGAGTGGGAAAGACGTGACGAGTCAAGATGGCGAAGGACCTGGACGAGCTCTTGGAGGAGGTCGAGTCCAAGTTTTGCAGACCAGACCCGTTGAAACGGGGCGTGGTCGAGCGGCCCAGTGGCCGCGGCGGCGGCTTCCTCAGCCACGATCGGAACCGAGCGGAGGCGAAAGACTCTCTCAGGTTAAGGGGCGGGAGGGGCGGGCAGTTCTGGTAAAGCCTGCGCCAGGCCCTAGACGCAGCCCCTCCGCCGCGGGACTCCGAGGAACGTGTCCGCCGGCCACCTCCAGCGCCTCCTGCTAGGCCCCGACCCTCGGCTCCCCGCCCGGGGGCAGCGCACACCTCAAGCCCCGGCCAGGCCCCGCCCCGCCGGTGCCCCGCCTCTGAGGGCTCTAGGCCCCGCCCAGTCTCTGTCACCCCGACAGAATCTGGGGGGCTGCGGGGCTGGAGATGAAGGCTGGGGTTGAGAGGGCCGCTGTTTCGGCGCCCTCTCCTGATCCTGGAGAGGACCGCACCGGCCTGAAGGATGCTCATACCCTTCTGCCCGGCACTGAGAACCTTGTTTTACTGCCTCTGCCCCATTCCCCCAGAATTATCCTTGGGCCACTTACCGAAGGAAATGATTCCATTCTATTCTGTGTCATCACAGCTTTTTTTAAGTTCAGAAAACTGGATGATACTAGATTTAGGATAAAGGTTAATTATTCTGAATACTGTCTATTCACCCAGCCACCTTCCTTCTCTCCTTAACCCCAGGTAAGAGTCCCAGCAGATTTTAGGCATCCCAATTGAAATTTAGGGGAGTTTCTCAGGTCTTTTGATTTTGATCCAGAAACTACTGTTCAAATTTGTCTATCATTTTTCTTCCGTGTAATCATAAAATAGGACTACTTCCTTCATCACATTGCCTTCTCAACCCCCAAAAAACAAAATGTTTGTGTCACAATGAGTATTGTTCTTCAGAGTGGTAACTTGGGAACCCCTGAGTAACTTTTACTAAAATCTGTTGGGAACACTTGTGGAATTATACAGAAACAGCGTAAAACAACCCAAGAAAATCAGTCTTTCTAATTTAAAATTGCATGTGTGGTTTTGTTTTGATGTGCAAGTTTGTGATTTCCCAGTAGTATTATCCAGCTCCATCGCTACCCTATTTACCAGATTTACTACCTCCAGAGAGGTTTGTTTGTAAAATTTCACCATCAGAAGATTAAAGATTGAAAAGATTCCAAAGTTTGGAGACAGAAGTTCTAAATTCTTAGTTGAGTATTGGGCAGCATTCTAAAGAATAAATTTAATCTAAAATGATTACTTTGAGTGCTCTAACACTTATTTGACTGAATGTTTATGCAAATACCACTCGTTATTTGCATATTATCTTGTATGCTGGAACTCCTGATGTACTCATTCTCAACACAGTCTACCATCCCTGTCACAGAGAGGTGAATATGACAACTGGGGAAAGATGTGTTTCTAGTGTAGAGTGACCCCTTTAGCTTCCCCTCCCAACATACATACCCCCTAAAGAATTATCTGACCCAAAATGTTAGTATTTCCAAAATTGAAAAGCTCTCATCTAGATCACCAGGTGATGCTAAATTCAATTTACATGTAAGGAAGTAGAAATAATGGATATAAACTATTCTTCATTAGTTAGTGAGAGTGGCAGCTTCAAGAAGTTTTTGGGAGTTTTTCTTTGAAAAGTCTTGAGCATATTTGTAAGTCAAGGGAAAGAGACAGTAAACTGGAAGATATTAAGGATAAAATTTAGAGAGGGAACAAATAAAAAGGCAAAACCTGGAGATAGATGGAGTCAGACAATCAATATTGGCAGCAGTCTCTGGATTTTCTTACTCCAGGTCTTACTCCAGGTAGTAACAAAGAAGAGCTGTGTTCATGGTGTTTGGAATTTTCAGAATAAATATGTTTCTAAAGTTAAAGTTAGATTAAAATCTGTCTACTAAAATTATTTAATGGTCCAATGACATTAGAAAGTAGACATACAGCATCTGTAACATATAAACTATGGAGAGTTAAACTCATTAGTATTAAGTGTACTTAAGTGTATTAAGTGTTATCTAGTATATAGAAGGTTCATGCAGTAACAATTTTTTAAAATAACCTTGTGATGGCTTTACCTGCAGAAGGTAGTGGAGATATGCCATGAGGAAAATATCACTCTATTTTTTATATTGATCATTTGATTATATAATCTTTAGCATTGCATTATATAATCTTTAGCTCCTCTAATAAAGGGATATGGTTATTTGAATTACAATTAAACCCTTGTGGAAAAAATTTAAATCATTAAAATAATCTTTGTTTATAATTCCCAGAATCCAATTATAATTGCACTTACTTTGTATTTTCTAAATGAGTTGCTGATGTAATTTAGAAAGGCACATGCCCAACTTTCTCTTAAATATAATGTAGAGCTTTAAATGTCTTCTTTAAAGTACATGTTGAATTTGCATATGATAAAGTACCTCTTTGTTTCAACAATCTTAGGCTATGTCCATAGCAGGAAAAAAATTAATGTCCTGTTTATCCTTCTGTTACCAACTTTAATAATGGACTTTAAACAAAATTCTGCTGATATTGGCTGACTTTTTCTGTGCTTAAGATTCAACTGTTTTTGTTTTGTGTTGTTTTTCAGATCAAAAGAAACATTTAAAAAAGAAGAGGATCTTGACAGTCTTATTAATGAAATATTTGAAGAGCCCAACTTTGACAAAAAACCCTTTGTAAGTCAAGTATAATAAATGTGTAGTAATTCTTTTGTTATTTGAAGACATGCTTAGAATAGTCTGAAAATACACAAGTATCTATTGTCTTTTGAATTCTAAGAAATATAATTATTTAGAGAAAATATTCCTCTAAAAGTTGCAAAAGAAATAAAATAGAAACTTTCAGCACGTGTTGTCATTCCTCAACAAGAATGAAAATCAGAAAAGCTAATAGAGCAAAAGTCAACTCACAGATGAAGTTGGTACGGTATTTATTTGTAGAATCTGAGAATACTTTTCTCAAAGACCAAAAACTTTTCTTTTTTTTTTTTTTTTAAAGATTTATTTATTCAAGCACTGGGTACAGTCAGAAGCGCAGGAGAGTGAGAGAATTACCAGAGTGAGAGTGGAGAGCAAAGAAGGCAGATGGACGAAATACACTGCTGAGGGGAGCAGCTGGGGGCAGATGAGGTCTGCACGCCATGTGGGACCCTCGCCAGCGGCCGGGGATCAAACCAGCGCTGCAGAGGCTGCGGGCAGCTTCGCAGCCCAGCGCTCAACCGCTGCGCCACCAGGGGAGGCCCCAAAAACTTTTCTTAAAAATTTTTATTTATACATACCAGAGCTGGGGTATAAACCAGAGGTGCCAGGGGCCAAGGGGAGACAGATGGGGGACACAACAGGCAGATTGACTGAAATACACTGCTGAGGGGAGTAGCAGGCAAGACAAGAGAGGTCTGCTGTACCACGTGGGCCAGCAACCTGGCCAGGGATCAAACTCTTGCTGCGGTGGCTGGTAATATAGCTTCATAGTGCTGAGACTTAACCCCTGGCACCACCATGGAGGCCCTCAAAGACCAAAATTAAGTAGCTTTCATTATAGAAATGTGCTGAACATCTCAGATAAAATACCATAGCTTTTATCTCATGAATCAATGAATAGATTGTAATATTCTAAATTTGTTGATACATATCTGTATTTATCAACTTTATAAAAAGCTCATAAAACAGTATTAATAGCCACTTCTGTATTTACCATCCACATCAAACATATCCTAACATTTTGCCATATTTGCTTCTCTGGATATTTTTTTAAGAATTAAAAATTACAGATATAATTTAAGAACTCTTCAAATCTTACTCTGCCTTCCTTCTCAGAGGTAATCACTATCATTTCCATACTTTTATACTTTTATTAGCTATGTGTAGAATCATAAAGAGTTTTAACTGATTCTTAATAGCTCATTGCCACAGTTTATTAATCCATCCCAGGTTTTGGATATTTAGATTATGCCCAGTTGTTTCCTTTTACAAACAACACTGACGAATCAGTTACCTTTATATGTCTTCTTTTATTCATGTACATAAGTTTCTCTAGGGTGTATAAACCTAGGGAAGGAATCGCTAAGTCAAGGTGTCCTCATCTTCAACTTTTTTACACACTATCAAAGTGTTTTCCAAAGTGACTAACATTTATTGTCTTGTCAACAGCAGTGCATATAAGAAGTATAAAGTATATATAAGAATTTATATACTTTAATTTTTACCATTTTGATTGGTGCAAAATATAACTGTTAGATTTAAGAGAAAGAGATCAAATGGAAGTCTAAAGTACAAAGGCCACAAAGAAAAATTTACCAAAGATTTTTTTAAAAGGTGGAGAAAATTGAAGCCAGACAGTGAAATGAATGTCACCAGGTAATGGTGGTGTTGAGGATGTGGATACTTTTGTCTTATACTTTTGTCAACCAGACTAAAAATCAAATGGCTAGTATAGAACTTAAGATCCGTATTTCTCTAAACTTAATATTTTCAGTTCCTCTGAGGTAAATTAAAAGCTGATGGTCTAGCTGATTAACATGTCAACACAGTAGCAGTGACGTTATATACTACGTGAACAGAATGCAACACAAATGCCAAAGAACAATGCTACTTTAATTAATAGCAGGGGAGAATATACTTGTATGATGTTCTTGTTATTCACTGATCTTCTGAGCAATTATTTGATACTGCAGGATACAGATCTGGACTTGAGACACTCTTCAGTTCAAGGCAAAAGAGAAGGAAATACTTCTGTGGCTTGACTTTAAGATATACTAGTTTGATATAAAAGTAACTTATAATCATGAAGAAGTAAATTTTTATGCACTTCTTCTATATGCTTGCTTTTGTAAATTGTTATATACCTCTTAGTTTCCCAACCTGCAAGGGAAAAAGCAACCCAAAAAAACTTGTGGAGAGCAGGTCTACATAAAATATTAATTGGATGAGAAGAGGTATCTGAATGGCAAGTCCTGCCACCTTATCCTTAAAGCCTGGATCATGCTCCTGAGAGTACTGCTCCCTCCCTCACTGATTGCTTGCTTTGTGTTTTTAAGCTGCTCTCAGACCCATACAAGAAATCCCAGCAACAACAAATAGTGTGGCAACTCAGAGCCATAAGTGTGAGCCTGGATGGAACATGAAACATGCTCCCCAAAACAAAAAGAAGCTCATGCACATTATTTTTCAGGCATGCACCAAAAAATTTCCTAGTTCTGTTTAAAGTCATATGAAAGAGTTAAGAGAAATGGTAAAACAAAACATCTTTGCCTCCGTTAAATTACTCTCTACCAGGTAAAATGAAAGCACATCTCCGCAGAGTTTAAATTGCCTTTTCTCCTCTCACTTCCTTTCCTTGGCGGTGGTCCTAGTATGTGGTTGGTTTATGTTGTTTGGTACTACATACCAGTTAGCACTTAATAAATGCTGGCTAATGATGATGTTAGGTAACCATATAGGAACTACTGTATAGTTGTAACTAGGTAGCTCTCTGTGTTCTTAAATGTCTATTGGTTGATACTATTCCATTTGATCAAAATTAATATTCCTGAAGTTGCCCAGAACTTTGGTTAGTTTATTTTTAGTTCAGGTGAGTATCACTCAAAGCCTTTAAAAATGAGTCTGAGGTTTTTTTCCCTCCTCAGTTGAATTTTTCCAGGATGAAGTTTTAAATAGCAGGTCTCCTTCATATTAAATCATTGAACTCTAGTATTAACTGAAGAGTTATAAAGTGACTCTAAATCTTAGCATGCTAATAACTGCAGTATATCAATTTCCTGGACTAAAAGTTAACAGAGTAATTTGCAAATTCCTCAGGGAGGTCTACTTCCCTTTTGCCTTTAAAAGGTTTTAATCATTGTTTTTATTTCAGAAATTTTAAAATGATAGAAAAATTCAGTCATTTAGAGAATGTCCTTGTTTAAAAAAAATACTAATTTTCATGTTACAATTCTCTAAGTTACCCTTGCCCTTTTATTGTTTTGTATTTTTAACAGAAATTAAAATCTAAGTCTTCAGGTAACACATCTGTCAGAGCTTCCATTCAAAGCCTTGGTAAAAGGTAAGTTGAGATTGCTTTGAGGAATTATACACGCTAGTGAGCAAACACTATGAGCATAGTGTAGTAGATATCATTACCATTTAAACAATAGTGACACTGAACATCAAAGCATTGGTTGACTTTCAGAAGAAAGACCAATAGCAGTATCTTGGTATTCTTCTGGTCTATAACTCCTTAGTGTAAAGGAAACTGAATGGAAAATTATTGCTATTGTAAATAATTTTCCCCCATGTGAAAAAAAGTGTGAACAGCTTCTCAAAATTAATGTGCTGTTATATTTCTAAGTATTTACTTTGTCCCTTACATTATTTGGCAAACACATTTTTCTGTGACTCACTTTCACTCCTTGAGTGTTCCTGCATGTATAGTTTACTATCCAATAAAGGAGAGATCCTCCAAATGAATATCTCTTCTTTGCAATAGCTGACTTGCTCAAGAAAATGCACAACTTGATTACAAGAAAATAGAGACAAATTAACTTCTCATATTTCCTTTTTTTAATCCTTTTTCCTCTATCTGTTGAACATGTCTAGTTGCAGCCCAGTGTACCTCGGTGGAAGTTCTGCTCCTCCTGGGATTGGAACAAATGCTTCACAGAGGTAAGATGTCAGAAATATATTATCTTCTCTTACTAGGTTTTTCGAAATTGATATTCTGTCCTTAAAACATAGTTCTTATCATCTTGGCATCAGCTTCATAATGAAAGGTATATTTTATTAGCCAATCAAAGGACACTGTACTGAAATGTTCATTATTCTTGGGTAATAGTGATTAAAAGCTTTGATGTTGGGTATGTGATATTCATTGTGCTGACACTCTTTTCTAAGCTCCACTTGAAATGCTCAGATCCACTGTAATCCCAGCTTTGTTTCCATAGGAAACCAGGCAAATGTGCATCTGCCTTCCCATTTTTCTTTCCAGGCAGTGGACACCAGTGAGGAAGACAGGTGAAGCAGTACAGCCATGCATCTGCATTATACATTACCCACACTACCTTGGTCAGTCAGTCAGGATGGAAAGCTGCAGGTCTGCAAAACCCAAAATATTCTTAGCATAGTCACTTGATTTGACATATTTCAAAAATAGACACCCCACTTTCTTCTTCTTTTCCCCATCCTTTTTATACCCGTACTCTCACTTAGCACCTCTCCCAGGGCAGTCTTATAGTCAGAATGCCACCTAGTTCAAGTCATATTCTAAGCATAGTGCTATCATTGCTATAAAATGGGGAAGCAGATTGGTTTTCAGCATATCCTTGTACTGTCCTGATTAGTTTTGGTTCTGTTTTTACAGCACTCTACTTAACTAGATTAGTATACTTTTTTGTCTAGTTATTTCTAAAACATTATTTTATATAGGGTCAGATTAAAAAAATAAAGGGTCAGAAAAAAACACAAACCTAGATTTGTAATAATTTTTTTAAAAAGAAAAGACTGAGATACATGATTGCATGTTAACCACATTTCAGAGATAGCTTGTTATATTGAATACTAGACGTGGGATCTAAAAAGACAGGATTGTGGTGGGGCTGGCCTAGATTCTAGGAAGCCTATTCCAGACAGCCTTTGAATAGACAAAAAAAAGAGTGACCTGTTTTACAGCTCAAGAGCCTATAACATAACGCTGATCCATGAGAATGCCAAGACCTGTCATTCTACCTTCTGCACAACTACAAGGGGAAAAACATACACCATTTACATAGATATGCAGAGATATTTTTATTCACAGCTCTTTCCTTCCTCACTTATCAAAAAGATACCAGTCATCAGCTGCCCTTGTCATGACACAGATCTGCACTCACAGAAAGATAAGCACATACATATTCATGTGATGTGCATGTGAAACAATTTATGTGTGAAGTGTTTTTATACTGCCCAGAGCACTTTATATACACATGTAGTGGTTCACTTGCTCCACAGAGAAAAAACCAAGTAGGCAATACAACAAGAATTTTTAGCACCATTTTACAAATGAGGAAATTGAGGTACTGGTATTAAATTCATCAAACACATACTAGTTAGCAAACTGCTTGCTAGATCCTAGGTATTGATTGGATACAATGCAGTGAACAAATAAATACCTTCCCTACTTTCAGTAAGTTTCCATTAGAGACCCCCAAACAGGTAAGTCCACAAATAAGTGTTTAATTTCCATGTAATATGTGGTGTGAAGGGAAAGTGCAGGATACTACAAGCATAGATAATGAGCACTTTAACTATCATGAAGGGGTCAGGGGCAATGATGATAGCTGTGACCTGAGTAGTGGCATTGGCTATAGGAAAAGGACGGCACATTGAGCTATTGTGAATATAGAACTGACAGAATTCATTGGTTAAATGGTTACAGGAGGTATGAGAGAATGTGGTCAAGAATAGGTCCCAAGTAATGTGCTCTGTCCAAGGTCACACAAATCAATACAAAGCAAAGACTCAAATGTATAAATTGATCCCTGATCCATTATGCTTTCTAGTATACTAATTTTCAAAAGGCTGTGTAATGTATGTGAGATGGAGAATTCTAGCTGCTTTTGCTATTGCAGCTGCAGTTATTTGCCTGTTGTCCAACAGCAAGACTGCCTAGTCCACTGTGTAGAATTGAGAGGATTTAACTCAGTTTCGGCAGAAGACTATATGGGTTGGATTTAAGCCTTATCCATGGATTTACGTGTCCATGGCATAAAGGAAATTGAATCTATCCAGCCCATTTTCCATGTATTTATTTGTTTTATTTCTTGATAAATCTCTGGCTTGGGAGTAATGCTGAATGATTTTAGAGTGAAGATTGAAATCTTTTACATAGTTGATGGAAAATAGAAAGAGCTATAGTAGCAATTGTGATGGCATTAATAAAGTATAGATAAAACCAAGGCATTATTTTCAAGCCAAGTTGAATTTTACTATCCCAATTATTTTTTAAACTGCTTGCAAGACTGGATTATTCCATAGACTGGTACTAATTATGATCTAATAGAGTGAATCGTAGCAGCGGAATGATTTCTTAGCTGCAATTTAGTTTTATTTCTCTCAAAGGACAGTGTTTGCAGGAAAATGTGGTAGTGTGAATAGATTTGAATAAACTACTAAATTTTAAATTAAATTAAAAAGCTGTATTTAACATTATGGCTGAGATTTTACACATACAAAATGTCAGGAAATTCTAAATTATCATTCCCACAACAGCAATAATTCAGCCAAATTGCTCATATGTATTAAGGCATTAAAGTTAACACTCTGTGCAATCATGTAATAAACTACATATGCATAAGAAAACAAGTCATGGCAGCTTTGGAACCATCGTTCTGCATTTCCTGACTTGTACATTCAAAATCCAAGTTCAAATGTATACAAATGTAATTGTGTTGAATTCCTGTACGTACAAATATAACTTCATAAATTGCTAACAGTTTGAAAGTAAATATGGAATTGCTCATGAAGCTTGTATAGATTTTAATGTTAGTTATTGTTACTATTAATATTTTTAGAAATATAAAGCATTTATTTTCAAAATAACTTGTAGGCCAAAAATTATTTGCAGTTTTGAAGTTAACATATCTAAATTTTTAGATGGAAATAAGTCTAAAATATCTAGTGATGAGTTTGTTTTGTTATTTTTTAATTGCAGAAGTATTATATGTTAGTTGAAAAAAATAAAACCAAAATTGAAAAATGTATAAAGAGAAAGGTAATTTCTTTCTCTCCCTTCAATTCCCACCACTCCTGAGAGAAATAGTAGTAGCTGTATAGTATATAAGCTTTCACATTCTTTTGTATTTTTAACAAACTTATAAACAGGAATAATTTTGGTTGTTTTTACAAAAATAAGATCATGCCATCTGTTACTAAGCACCTTGCTTTGGACATTCTTCTAGGTCAGCAGATAAATCTAATTTCCCTTATCAACTGCCTAATATTCCACAATATAAAGGTACTGCATTTTTTTCAGTGTTTTCCCTGTTTGATAGATATCAAGGAGATATTATTTTTTGCCACTTCAACAATACTGCAATAAAAATTCTTGAGTATACATACTTACATGCTGGTGATTTTTTTAATGTGTAATATGTTATTCAAAAATGATATTGATAGTGTAACATGTATAATTTTAAAATACTGCCAAGGTTTTTATCAAAAGTTTATAGCAATTCACATACCCACCAAACATGTCTGAGGGTGTTAATTTTTGCTAACATAATTGGTATAAACATTTTGTGGTTGCTTTAAATTTTAATTCTTTATATAATATTTTAACTTTTTAACAAATATTGTATGTCAGGTACTATTATAATACTTTATACAAATATTACCTCATTAGTTTCTCAGTAATTCTATGAGGTGTGTAAGTATTTATTAACCATTTTATAGATAAGCAAACTGAGTGACACAGTTGTCTGACAACAGTTATAAACTATTCAATATATGTATATAGGTACACATATCCGTGTCCAATGTCCATACTTTGAATTATTCATTAGTGAAATTGAATATATTTCAATTTTTTTGTTTGTTATTATTTGCAAGTACTGTTTATATGAATATGTAATCATTTGATGAAAATGTTCTCTTCCATTCTTTTACTCATCTTTCCCATGTAGTTTTTGATATCTTAAAAACTCTGCTTATTTTAATCTTAAGGATCAAATGTATCTATTGATTCTAGTTTTTAAATACTTAAAGGAATATAAGCTTTTTTTTTAATTACTATTATTACACAAATCAGATTGTTTGCATCTGTAGTTCATAATTCTTGCCCCTTTTTTTAAAGATTTATTTATGCATAGAAGAACTGGAGTGTAAGCCAGAGGTGCGGGAGGGGGTGTGTGTGAGAGGATTCACCAGAAAGAGTGGGGAGCAAAAGAGGTAGATTTACTGAAATACATTGCTAAGGGGAGCAGTGGGCAAGACAGGAGAGGTCTGCTGTGCCATGTGGGTAGCTCCCTGGCCGGCTGGGGATCAAAGTCATGCTGCAGTGGCTGCTGATAGCTTGATAACTAGCTTGATAGCGCTGTCTTTAACCCCTGCGCCATCTGGGATACCCAATTCTTGCCTTTTTTACTCCCTAAAGTATCTGAGTTTTGAGAATTACGTGGCATTTCAGTTCCTTAGATAGTTACTGGGTCCCTTTTATATTCTAAGTATGTTTCTTACAGTTCTTCCCTCTGTCTCCTGCATAATTAGCATTTGATTCTTCACTGCATTTTTACCATCAACATACAACCATGTTCTTTTCCTCCCTTCCTTAATAGAACCTTCTCTTAACCCCATTTCTTTCCTTTAAAGAAACTGCTCAGATAGACCTCAGTAAAGCCTATGCAGACAAGCCTGTAAAACTGCAATCCACTCCGTCCCAGTTTTATTTACCCTCATTCAAACTTCTCTTTACCTTCTAAGTTACTATATAATTTGATTATTATGAGTATCATTTTATTTCTTTTCACTAGAATCTAAGATCCATAAAAATGAAATCTCACAGGACATAAGATATCAGTAAATAATTTTTAAGTGAATGAATAAACACATTAATGTCAAGTAGGGAAACAGAAACAAGTAAGATATTTTCCCAGATATTTAATGTGCTTACAAGGAAGACAGATTCATTTCAATATAATGTGGCAAATTCTGTGATGGAATCATCCCTAAAATTTTCAAAAAATGAAGCACTTTGAAGAAGTTAAATGAATAGCTCCCTTAGACACTTTTGAAAACTATTGAACTAAAATACTCATACATTTTGTTTATTTTATATCTGTTGAATGTAAATGTGTGCATATATGTATCAGTGTGTAAGATCTTAGTAAAATAGGTTTGGTTCTTATAGAAATTTAATCTGAAAGTTCAGATATATAATTAGTCCTTTAATATAAAAATTTATATCAGATTAATCTTTACCTTTCTGTTTTTCATTCAGTAATCACGTGGAATATCCTATGTGGTATCCTACAAATAAAATGTAGTATATCCTATGAATAAATAACCATATTTTCATATTTAAATATATCTACATCTCTAATATACAGTTCTTTTTCTCTGAACAGAACGTGTGACCATCTGCGTTGTATAGCCTGCGATTTCTGGGTAGTAAGCTATGATGACTATATGTGGGACAAATCATGTGATTATCTCTTTTTCAGGTATGTTTCTAAAGAACTTCACTCAGAGAAATGTACACAAAATACAACTTGATTTATTTCTTATTTTGCTATATTGTCTCTTGGTGGACTTGGCAAGATGTTTCACCTAAACCTATTCAGTGTTTCTCTCATCCATCTCCCTCTTTTCCATCTGTCTGCTGTCACTGTAGGTAAGGACTTGTTATTTCTGGACAAATACAGAAGTAGTCTCCTCACTTCTTTTTCTGCCTACAGTCTCTTCTTTCAGACTACTGTCCCCTTGCTGAGAATTAAAGCATAACTCTTAAGTATGCCATTCTTCTACCCAAAACCCATGCTTACAGAATAATGTCCACATTCCTTAATATGGCAGTTAAGACCCTCCACAATCCCGTCCCCACCTAACTATAATCCAGCTTTGTCTTTCCTCAATATACCTTTCACCTTCACAAGAATTTAGCTACAGTAAAGTACTCAATCCTCCATTCCCTGTGACTTTGAGCAAACTGTCCACTTCTTGGAATACCTTCCCAACATTTTGTTTACATACACCCTACCAGGGTACAATTCCTTGCATCTTCTATGATTCCCTCACCACTCTCTAAACTTAGGAGTAAATTCATCCTTTCCTCTCTGTCCACATCCCTTCATTCCTATTACAGCATTTCACTTACTCTGACATGAGGTTGAAAGTCTTAGGCTGGTATTTGTCAGCTTCCCAGCTTGTGATAGGGATAATGTCCTACTCATATTTTTATAATTTCTACATTATTATATATTTACTGATTACCTGATACTTTAAGATGTTATAAAGATGTTTTTGAAGTATGCTTTCATGTTTTCAAATAAATATTAAGAGCGGTCCCCTAAACCTATGCATAAACAAAGTTTGTATTTTCAGATACAAGGAATCAGAATATACTGCAACACACATCTTCTAGCAGCCATTTTCATGTAAACTTATAGGATTCTCGTCTCTTATAAGTTTTTAAACTTTTTCGCATCAAAAACCACCTTGAAAACATTATGAAAATTTTGAATCTTCTACACACACATAATTCAGCTATACAAATATTTGGAAAAACTACGGTTTGAGAGATTTCACAGCATCCACCCCAAATAAAACCTAATGCAGTCCCCAAATCCCAGGTCAGGAGCCCCTACTTTAGGTTTGTATTAGCTCATGTTTTACTGCTATGTATGTCTTCTGGCTCACCTAATAAGTGGTTAATCCCTTGTATCACTAAAATCAATCATCAGCTTTTATAAAGTGCATATAGGATAATAGAATAAATGAAACATCTAAACTGGGGTAAGCACAAGCATAAAGTAAGGTTATTGGTTTCACTGGTAGTCAAGGAGTGTTTAGTGTCTCAGAGTTAAGACTATTGATTAGTTTACTTTAGATCTGTGGCAGTCTGGTTTAAAAAGAAACAAACCTTCAGATAAAACAATGAGAACTAGACAATTACATTGTTAAAAATAAATAACACTATTGCTTGTCTTTCAACAATATACTAAACATAATAAGTAGTTATTTAAATCAGTAGAAAATACTGTCTCAGCCCTCAAGATGTTTAGGAGTATGTTTGGAATGTAAAAGATGGAACAAATAAAAAGGCTGCCATCATCACCAGGATATAAATCATTAATATATTTTATATTTTGTAGATATGTTTAACATTTATCACACAGACATAACTTAACACCTAGTCTGTGCCATGCCTAGATACTGGGCTCACAAAGTAGATAGGACCCAGTTTCTTCTGGCCGCAGTCGGTTGTCTTATTCTTATTTAACAAATGGGGGCAATGATTGTATCCTAAAAGAAGTATAAGCTGTACTTTACTGCCTTCTGTAATAGCTAAATACAATACTTTTACATTCATATTAAATCATGTGTTTTCCTTATAAGAAATAAATTGTTTAAGCTTTTAAAATACGTACTTCTTTAAAAAAGCATTTGACATGTACTGGTTAGTTCCCTGGGTATTTATGATTCCTATATCTAAAATCTCCAAGGATTCAATCACATATCAAATGTCAAGTTTGTTAAACTTTATTATAGACAGACTAAAGGACATTTTCCTTCATTTAGCGATTTTGTTTTCATTAAACACATTTTGTGGGTTTTCTTTCTGATAAAACTTATTCAGTTCTTAGCCTAGCTCACCATAATCTTAGCTAAGTCACTTAGCTGGTCAAATCTCAGTGTTCTGAAATCAGACAACCTAATAAGTCTGTCAGGTTTTATTAGTTTGTAACCTTTTAAGTTATACCCTAATTTCATGCACTACAGCACTGAATGTGGTGCCCATTGACCACCAGAGGGCACTTTATAGCCTGCAGTGACAAACAAGGCAGATAGCACTATTTTTTAAAGTATTTAATCCTGCATTTCATCATTACACATTTTTTGACATCTTATTTTGAATTTTTCCATTTTCTGCCATAGAATATTTACATAAATTCATACCTGGATTCTGAAGAGCATAATTTATTTTCAATGAATTTAATTAGCTTCTAATGACTTATAATATCAAGTCAGGCAGTTATTTTTTATGATGGTCCTACCCATTGATTGATTATTTTAACATTGTCATTTACTTCAATACAGGCATTTATGTTGTTGCAGATAATATGACAAGGAGATTACAGTGACAAGTGAAATACATGAATTCAACATGTAGAAATAAGTATTTCTGTAGTTAATCAACCAAAAGCCTATTACCTGCCTATTATATGTCCTGTATTTGCATATTGCAGCTTTTTAAAATACTGTGTAGATAAGGATCTGAGGCAGATGAGCCACCATCCTTCTCACTCTGTTCTCATATGTCATCTCTGCTAAGACAGACCATTTCTTTAGCCCTTTAGGTCATATTCTACAACAGGCTATTTAATAAACAGGCCTGGAAGATTGCCATTAAAAATACTGAATATTGAAGAAATACCATCAGAAAGAGAATGCTGAAACATACCATTTATTATGTGTGTGAGGGGAATAAAGTGTTTAACATTTAGATGTTGTGAAGATAGGAAAATAAAGCAATTAGAACTTTTTAAGTTTTTTAGCACTGAATAAAACCATTACGGTAAAACCTTCCTGTTTTACAAATAGGAACAATATGCCAGAATTCCACAAATTAAAAACCAAGTTGGTAAAGAAGAAAGGAACGCGTGCATATGCCTGCCAGTGTAACTGGAGAACTGTTGAAGAACTGACTGACCTTCAGAGAGAACATCAACTTCGTTGGGTTTGTGGTAAACATTAAGAATGCAGACTTCACATTCAGACAAATGTGACCGTGAGAGCAGTCTCCATTAATCATAATGTTTAGGTAAAGGTACATGCAGTATCATGCCCTTTGGGAAAAGACGGGAAATTTCATTTAATGACTGCACAAATTTTTGAAGACCAGATGGACATGGGAAGTTAATGATAAGTAATTTCATTTGATAATGAGTTATCAAAATTCTCCTTTGCTGGTTTATCTCCTGTTAATTAGAAGTTTAATTATGAAGCTTCATACAAATATATAGTCATTCACTAGCAACTACAGTATTACTGGCTACTAATATACTTAGTATAACATTCTTCCTTTATAGCAATTAGAGGGGATAAAGCTGGCTAGGGTAGAGGTCACTGAAGGGTGTACACATCCCCTTCTCCAGAAAGATCTATGGTTACCAAAGATCAAAATTTCAGTGTGGCAGAAACAAGATCAATGACTAACTGAAAGGTTTCAGGAGTATAGATATATTGTAAAAGCACTGCCCATATCTGATCTTACCTCATCAACTCAAAGCAATATTATACACAATAATGATAACTGTATATTTTCAGTTTTTATATACTTTTTCCTCCTGTTAACTTAGGTATCAAAAGTTTAGTTTCGTTTTCTATTTTAGCAGATATCCACTTATATATAAAAAATATTGATACAATTAAAATCACAAGGAGAGATCCTAATATAGCCTTAAGCACCATCAAATGAAGTGAACAGCAAGTAAGATATTTTCTCAGGCAGTCTGTTGATTTTCTGGTAAGATCAGGTTGACATTAGATGAGTGTGAGTGCATGAAAAGAGAAGTGAAATATGGCTGAACCAGCAGGCAGCCTTTTGGGTACATTCTTAACTTCACTGAGAGGAGGAACCTACAATAGCGGCACATTCGGGAAATCAGCTATCAGCAACCAGGTCCATCTAGAGATTCTGGGGACTTTCCAATCTGCCAAAAGTTCTTTACTCATGTGTCTAATATACAATTCATATGTGTGACACAAGGCATGTTACAAAGGAATAACTGAAACAGTTTTAATCTGCTTAGTCTTATACTGAATTCATTCCAGCGACCCTCCTTCAGCACCAAAAAAAGAACTGGTCATGAAGAACTTTCTAGCCGTGACATATTTGCATATGTGTAAAACTGACTCTAGTAAGTCTAGCATTTGCAACAAAATAGTGGCAGATACTCACATTTTTGTATTAAGAATATGTTTGTAAATCATATCTTTAAATAAAAAATTTTACTCTAAAATTTTGTGTGAGTGTAATTGTATTAAACACGGGGATTTGATTGAAATGACCTATTCCTCAAAATAGCAGAGCAACAAGATCCACACATTCAGGACCCCATGGAATTTGGAAATTAGTCCAAATATGGTGGTATTTTCTTTTTATTCAAATGAGCAAATTTGTTAAATCATTCATTTGAAAATAGTTTTTCTTTTGTATTTTTTCATTATAAGTATCCTGCAACTTGGATATATTTCCCATGCTTAGCATTCCTTAACATACTTACAATAATTTCCCACTGTCAGAAATGTGTATGGATTCACATTTTTGTTAAAAACTAAATTTTAATATTATACAATTTTTAATCTAAACTGTAGAAAGAATATGTGTATATACAAATGGATAAATATTACCAGTTATAACTTAAGCCAAAACACAACTATTTTAGCATTAATCTAGGAAGAAAAGCAGTTTCTAATCAACTATAATTTAAAATCCTCGTCAAGGTTTTGCTAACATGTCTTCAATATTTATAGTAATTTCTTACCTTCACCACGTATTTTTTGTCAAGCTAGGTAGCTATTTATTTGAGCTTTATTCTCCCTAAAAGAACTTTGTATTATATTATTTTATAATAAAATATTCATAAGGGGATTAATTTGAAATAATTTTGACAATTTCTTTTAAAATGTCAAAGTTTCAACCATCCAGGTAAACAGAGAATATTTATTTAAAATATGGAGGAGAGGCATGACATAAATTTAAGTGTGTGTACACACATGTGTGTACACCCATGGGGAAAAGAGCTTGAATGTTCAAAGGAACTAGGGCAGAGAAAATAAACCATATTAATATGGTGGGGTACAGACCCTGTATTTTTATATTAGTAAACTTAGCACCCTTCCTAGGGCTAAAGAAGATGGCATGAGACTATTAATTGAATTGCTTTCCCTTCTCTTCTAATTAATGTGATCTTTTCAAATATGTATCCAATACATACTATGATGAAACTTAGCAGTAATTTTGTAATGCCAATTTTTTTGTTACTGTGCTTTAACAGAATATCAGCCAGTGCACTACTAATAATAATCAGCTTAGTGTATTATTTAAGATATCTCTGATAATTCACAATATACTATCTCTTTAGAGGTTGCATGTATTATACAATTTGGAATTGTATTTGGAATTGTGACACCATTTTGTACCCTATTGAATGGGATATATTAATACATGTATTGATAATTAAATTTGTTTTCAGATTTACCTTAAATAGCAGATGACAGTATGAGCTGCTACAGAAACCATAGCTGAAAATCATGCCCCTTAGAAAGTTACTTGGCTTGGGCCTCCCCGGTGGCGCAGCGGTTGAGCACTGGGTTGCGAAGCTGCCTGCAGCCTCTGCGGCGCCGGTTCGATCCCCAGCTGCTCCCCGGCCACCAGAGGAGGGTCCCACATGGCGCGCAGACCTCTCCTGCCGCCCGCTGCTCCCCTCAGCAGTGTACTTCGGTCCTTCTGCCTGCTTTGCTCCCCACTCTGGCTCTGGTGAATTCTCTCACCCTCCCGCGCTTCTGACTGTACACAGTGCATGTATAAACAAAACAAACAAACAAACAAATAAATAAATAAAACATGCCTTTAAAAAAAAAAAAAAAAAAAGAAAGTTACTTGGCTTTTCGGACTTCATTTGCCTCATCTATATGAATGATGATATCCCTTTATAAAGTTTGTAAGGATAAAATTATATAGCATATGAAAAGTGACTAGTAAAAATTTAATTCAGAATAGTGCTTAATAAAAGTAATACTGTCTAAATTAAAGCAATGGTGCTGCATGATTTTTAGAGTAAAGCGTTTATTCTCTAAATATTCCTTATGAGAAAAGTAGAAATGGTATTATCATTTTTATTGTATAACTGATAAATGTAAACAACTTTGTTTATAAAAATTGAAACTACAACTCTCATTCAAAACAAAAAACAAAATAAAATCTCTCATTCTAACCTGCCTCTTCCTGTCTGGTTTAGGACTATTTGGTCATCAGGAAAGTAATTTAGGCCTTTCCCAGTGTCTTTTCAGCTTCTTATAGCTGAAATCGCCTACCTGCTGTTCCTCAGACATTCTTCTTAGGGGTTACACTGCCTTTTTAACCTCTCTCAACCTAGCAAAATCTCACACATTTTGCAAAGTCTCTATCTTGTACACCTGTGATTTTCACAGTATTGTCCACTCTCAGGGGGTCCATAGGAATCTTTCAGGGGGTTCAAAAGGTCAAGCCTGTTTTTATAACATTAATTCCTTTTTCCACCATATTGACATTTGCACCCATGCAAATGTAGTAAACCTGCTGTCACCTTACTTAGTCACTTAGCTGTCAGTAACAAATGCACTTGCAGTAGAGAAAGCCAGTTTCACTTAAGAATGCCCTTAGTTGAGGGTGTAAAATGATTAAATTTATTAATCCTAGACTTTAAGATCTTATCTTTTTAATATTCTGTGTGACTGAATAGGGAGTACACAAAAAGTCTACTTGGCCTACACCCTAAAATCTAATGATTTCCTCAAAAAAAAAAAGTGCAATTGGGTCGTGAGTTGAACAAACCACTTTTTCCATGAAATCCATTTTGTTTTAAAAGAATCACTGACAAACTGTGGATGTTCAGACTTGAATATTTGACATACATTTTCTCAAAAATTAATTGTGAGTCATCTCTAGGAAAATAATTGAGAGCATTTGTTGCCAGTGATAAAATTCAAGTCTTTAAGCCAAAATTAGAATTTTGGAAAATTTGTATCTATTACTGTCAACATGAGCACCTCACCAATACTTAAAGGCTAGTGGTGATAAGAAAAATTGACTTTTTATACTATATAACATGTAACAATATCTAGGAGGCCTCTATAATTCAGTGAACCAATATTGTCAAGTGAACAATGTTTAATATTAGAAAACTAAAGTGAATGGTAGAGGGATGGATTTTAAAATAATAGTACTGGGCCTCCCCAGTGGCACAGCAGTTGAGTGCTGGGTTGCGAAGCTGCCTGCAGCCTCTGCAGCGCCGGTTCGATCCCCAGCTGCTCACCAGCCACCAGAGGAGGGTCCCACATGGCGCGCAGACCTCTCCTGCTGCCCGCTGCTCCCCTCAACAGTGTACTTCGGTCCTTCTGCCTGCTCTGCTCCCTGCTCTGGCTCTGGTGAATTCTCTCACCCTCCCGCGCTTCTGACTGTACCCAGTGCTTGTATAAATAAATAAGTAAATAAAAATAAATCTTTAAAAATAAAATAAAATAATAGTACTAAAAATCAATTTATACAATATCAGTTTCCACATTGAAGCTAAGAAATTAGTACTTGTCAAGTTCTGATGTAATGAAAAATAGTCACCATTATCTGAAAAAACTATTAAAATTTACTCTTTTCCAGTTACATGTCTGCATAGGCTGAATTTTCTTCTAAGGTTTCAACCAAAACAACATCTCAAAAGAGAGAATGCAGCAGTACATTTGGGAGTCCAGCTGATTTCTATTAAGTGAGAAATTTTAAAAATTGGCAGAAACATAAAACAAATGCCACTCTTCTCACTATATTTGTTTTGGAAAATTGGTTATTTTCACAAATATTTGACAACATGCAAATGGCTTTATTATTACTTAAGTAATGTACTCAGTCTTAATTTCTAATAAAATAACTATCAATAATCATAATCACAAAAATCAAGCTCATTGGGGTTTGCAATTATTTTAAGAGTGTAAAAATGAGACCTAAAAAAGTTGAGAACTGTTATATACAATCATAATTACCCACCCTGCCCACATTCCACCCCAATATAAAACTGTGATTCCTTCCACCTTCTATCTGCTTTTTAAATTTTCTCTCCCAGTTAATACCGTGTATTGTAATTGTGTGCTTATTGTATCCATTTTGGAGATTAAATTTCAAGCTCTTTAAAGTCTCGAATGATCTCAGACAGTTGTGCCACTAACTTTCGGAGGCTCTGGGGCTAAGCCAGTGTGTCTGGGCCCATCGTAAAATAAGTTGCATTTCACAACAGTAAGTTTCTGTCCAGCTTGAAAATATACTGGTCCTCTTAAATATCATGTGGACCCAGTGTTAAGCTATCCATACATTAGGTACATATAGTGGGGAAAGCCCAGATTCTAGAATGGGAGAGACATAGGTTTCAAAAAGACATAATCTCTGTGTCCTTGGAGATTTCAGTCATTGGAGGAAAGAAGCAAACCACTTACTACTGAGCCTGTGAGTGCTCTCAGAAGTAAACAGGCACTGTGATACTGGGAGGTAACACCTAAAAACTAACTTTTACTATGGATTTGTTCATCAGGACAAGTTATCAGGAGCTGGAAAGGATCAGGATTTAGATGGAGAACACTGCATTTGTCGGAGATCAGACCAGAGGAGAGAAAGGACGGACACATGAAATAGTTTCATCATAATTCTTTACAGATAGGAAATGGGCACATGCACACACACACAAAAAAAACCCACAGAAAGTCACAGAGGTTAGGGTTGAATTCCAAGCTAGACCCCCCTGATTCTGTATCTGTGTATGAGAAAGGAGAAGTTGCTTTATTTCAGATGAGGTAGAGTGGAAATGCAGTCGAGTAACCCAGGGCTATTACTCTGGTATTCCCCAGAAGAGCCCAGATGGACTAATAGATGAATAAATTAGACTGTAAGAATATGCAATCCTGGTTTCACTGAGGGATACTTTCAGCTATTTTCTATGATTTTGTTTAAAGACAGCAAGATACAGTGCCCAGGTGTTACTATCAGGTTGTCTCCCAGGGCTAGTGGACAAGTGGTAGCTTCCAAAGGGAGAGGCCAACTTGAGCACAGCAGGAAAGAATTCCTTAATCTGCTAATCAAATCTGTTATGGACTTGGAGATGAAGAGTGAGCAACTGCCAAAGGACAGGGTTAGGGCCTGGATTCTTGTCTAGCTCAGTGGTTCTTAACTGGCTTCAGACTGAGGCACTTGGGAAGTTGTTTTGTTTTGTTT